TTTGGTAAGCAAGTACATTCATGTACCTTTTGATAAAACATCACTAGGGGCAAAACTAAGTCTTGGTGTAAAAATAATTTATTGAGTCATTTTACATAATAAATGTTAAAATGGTTTGTTTTCACTCTTTACATAAAGGTCTGGTCTGGGATAAAAGTCTAGATATTAAGAGAGCCACAATCTATATAAAGCCATTTGAAAAATTGTAATATATTTTGAAAGAAGGATGTTTAAAAAAAGATAGATGATATGTAGTATATATATATATACACATAGGCCTACATATATATATATATATATGTAATATAAACTTAATATATTTTTAAAAAATGACTAAATTGCATAAAACTGTCATGGTATGATCTATTAGTTCTGTGAACTCAATGATTTAGCTATAGACAATAACAGATGATTTACCACGTTTATCAGTGATGTCCTGAGCCTGGAAAAGAGTAAAATATTTACCTATCTGTATTTTAAATCTAAATGCCTTACCATTGAATGTTACAATTGTGACAAATATAAATGAGTTCCTTGCCCACGAGATGCATATCTAGCTTGTTGAGGCAGTGGAAATTCTTCAGTAGAAAGTTGAGAGGACATTTGAATAACTGAAAAACTGGAATTTCTATGTGGCCACAATGTAAACAAGTCAGGTCTTGTCTTTTGAACAGAGGTGGACAAATTACACAACTTCCTTACTTGAGTGAAAGTACAGATATTACTGGTCAAATATTACTCCGTTACAAGTAAAAGTTGTAAAGACAGATTTTTACTTAAGTTAAAGTACAGAAGTACTTGTTTTCAAAAGTACTTAAGTATCAAAAGTAAAAAGTAAATGTGAATGCATTGTTTTATTATTGTTGCATTGTTGTACGTAACACTTACAGTACATTATGTCTCTGAATCTATTTCTGCCTACTCTCATATCAATATCAAATTTATTAGAACACAGTTCCAGTAGTGGGATTGAATGTGAGATTGAATAAGTGCACTCAATAACGTCCACAATGGTTTCGGACACCCAAATGGCTGTTTGTTCCCCTTGAATAGTGTAATTTTTTTAGTATTTAATGTTTTTTTGGCTTTTAGTATGAATATGTTAGCCTTACTGTTATCTATAAGCTAGTGTGCTCCAAAACAATGACAAAATTTGCATTTAGAAGACCAAACCGAACGTTGAAAATGAAAATCAGGTGGATGTCAGAATCCAATGCCAGAATTTAATCTCCAACGTTGGACAGATGTTTGTATTGTGATTGAAAATTTCAATCGGGTTGACGTCAGTGATAACATAAATATGATATATTTAACATCAGTCGGGTTCTGACGTCAACCCGACTTTCATTTCCAACCAAAATGCAACCCCTGCAACCAAAGTCATCCCCTGACTGACGTTACTACTTTCTACTCAAGGACCTTGACAGAATTGTAGTGGAGTAAAAGTTTGCAAAATACAAGTTCTGTAGATGTTTTGAGCAGGCTGTGAATGTGTTCCATCATGTTAATATTATAATTTGTCAAGTTTACTGAAATACTTTAAATTCAATCTTGTCTCCCTTTCTGTTAACTCCCAGGAAAAAATACAAACAAACAAACTGCAAATTAATTACAGCAAGTTAGCAAAATTCAATCATTCGTTTTTTATGTTTTTTTTCGAGGGGGTAATATATATTATTAGCCTACCCAGTTGCTGAAGGTTTAAGTGTCACATTCACATTCTCATTTTCTATTTATGATTTTATTTCAAATAATACATCATAATTTGTCTTCTGTAGTGTTCTGCAGAATGTTTTCAAGTATTTAATTGTTTAACTGAATGAGAGTTTTCTGAGAATATCTCTGAAGTAAAAGCATTTGTGCTCGTGTCAGTATTCATTCAACCCTTTCAAATCAGGGAATCCTTTCAAACTTTCAGCCCTGCACAGTCTATTAAAACATATTGGCGCATAATTCTGTCAAAACTTTTCAAACCTTCGTTAAACTTAGGTTAGTACCTCATATTTTGTCATGATGAATGCAGTGGTATTCATATTTTAAGTTTGGTCAAAGTGTGGACAAATTCTTTTTGAGCCGACTGAATAGAGACATTATAGATATAGACATTAAGTAGTGAATATCCTGAGTGGTGCCAAGGTTTCAGCTTTCTTCTGCTTATTCACAGTGAAATATCTTTTTTTCCTTAGAGAGATCACGGCAGTCAAACGATGCTTTTGTCACATCGATTAGTGCACCTCTGTGCATAATGCCTCATTAGTTTGTGTGGCCTTTGAACTGCTGGGACCAGAAAACATTGCAGTCCGTTGTTGCATGGGTGGCCTGATCATTTTGGGTACATAAGCCCTGTTACAAATCTTATCAGACTTGTCTGGCAGGCAAGCGGAGAAAAGGCATAGAATTAAGTGTGAAATATTGAGCAATATCCCATCAAGACTTTCATAATGCGAGCAGGCATTCATGGGAATAAATACAATTCTGTAACCTGAATAAATATTTAAACTTATTTAAACATTTGAATAAGGATTTATTTGTTTCATTACTGACGGCTTTTATTTTGGGACTTGGGCAGTCAATATGAAAATTTGTTTAGCATGTCAGATGAAATGACTCTTTAAAGGCACAGTATGTAAGTTTCGGCGCTAGAGGTCGCTTATTCAAAACAATAACAAAGGCGTAGCTTGATGATGGCGTGAATGAGCGTTGAATGGGAGTTGGAAGCCTGGGACATTTTACATTGCTGTTTTTATTATGCTAATATGCCGCAGTCGGGCACTGCCACTCCTTTCATTTTGTAGTTTGTTTATTTTATGTTTAAATTTACGTTATGGGGAGTCACAAAAAGTCATTTCACCTCCCTGAAATGACTTTTTGCAGGTTGGGATGTCTGCAGATGCTCTGTTTTTTCTTTTAGCCTATTGCATGTTATTCATTCAACAAATTTTCTGGGGGCAGTGGAATTTTGTGAAAAAGATTAACATTGCTGGTGGTGGCTGCATGGCAACTTAAAAAAAATGCTGGTGGGGAAAGAGTTAAAATTACATTCTTCAATGCCTATTACACTTAGGTAATAGGTAGTAGGCAAATTGAAAATGACCACAAAGTTAATTCTTTCTTCCTGTAATGTAACTAGCACAATAGAATTCTTTCTAACTCAAATTCTCAAATTACATACCATTCGGAGAATTGGCATAGCAGAACATTGGACTATAGAAGCTCAGTAGCTTATCAGTGTGACTCAGTCACCACCTTATGGACTGTTTAAGCAATGCTTTTTTAACAGCTTATCAACTGACTGTAGTCAGCCATTCTGTTCTAAAGACTTGTAACTTGAATATGCATACTCCTCGTGTAAAAGCTTTTGATTTCAGAATTAGCTTTGTTACAAATACTCTTTGTAAATAATTTAGCCTCTTGCTTTAGCCTATATGTAGCCTAGGCATGACAGGCTAGAAAGTCAGAAACTGACAAGCATTTGTCTTAGATTTAAAACTGTAATTTTGATTGTTTAGGCTACTCTCTAAATTTGTATTTATATTAATTTATGATCTTGCCATGTGTTCTCCTGGTCTTGTGTGGACTGTTCTGCGCCATGTTTTGTAGTCCTTTGTAGTTTTTCTTGTTTAGTTCTTTGATTGTTCCCAGGTGTGTCTTGTTTGGTAATTACCCCTTGCGTTTTTAAAACCCAGTGTTTTTTTATGTTCCTTGTTGCGTCTTGTCCTACATTGATGTTATGTTTGGTGCACTCATTTTGTTCCCTGGTTCTCTGTTCTGGATTTGTTATGTTTATTTTATTACTAAACTCACAGCATTTGGATCCAGCTCTTCTTTGTTTCTGAGTTGAGAGAGAGAGAGAGAGAGAGAGAGAGAGAGAGAGAGAGAGAGAGAGAGAGAGAGAGAGAGAGAGAGAGAGAGAGAGAGAGAGAGAGAGAGAGAGAGAGAGAGAGAGAGAGAGAGAGAGAGAGAGAGAATAATAATACTTATATATATAATTATTCTTATTAATTATCATGACAAACTGTAGGTTGTATTAATAAATAGATACCCATAAAGCAAATTGAGTATACCAGATCCATTCTTACATTTATAAAGACAGATCAAGTTGAATCGTTAAAATGCCCCACCTGTCATTTAGCAAACACATCTACAATGATGACCTTCGTCATCAGTAGATGAACATGAAGACAGCACACACACCCTTAATCTCTGAAAATGGCTGGACAATAAACCATACACCTATCATGATTCATGTCAAAAGATTTCCCATATTCACTTGGTGAAGTATGATCTTATACACATCATCTTATACCCATGTATAGACTAATTCCAGAATATAATGAAGAAGCCATAGCAAACACTTATCAAATATAAGAGTGTCTGTCAATAAATCATAAGTGAGAAGAAAACTAGAAAATTATGTGGATGGTTTTGTTTTGTTTGACATTCCATTTAATGATGAATCATTTGCTGAGAAGTCATGAATTGTTGCTAAATATTTATTGCTAAACTTCTGCATTTTAGACTTCTTAACCTCGAAACAATGATTTGGGGCAATATCCTACTTGTGGAATAGCTTAGGCAACATTTGGCCAAACATAGCCTAGCCTGCCATATCGGCTGCGTCCGAAATCGCGTACTTCCGTGCCATTTTAATATTCCTATCGTGTCACCAAAAGTATTACTATTCGACGTAAAGGCGGCAAAAGGAAAATAAATGTGAGATAAACACCGTTTCGACAACAGAAAAATCCTTTAAAAAGCTGACAACTCAAAGGTCGTTGCATAATTCGCAAACTGATGAAATCGTGTTTATGATCAGTTTAATAGGTATTGAATGCTTTATCGCTAATCATCGTGACGAACAGTCATGTTGTTTCTGAAACTTTCGTGACAGACAGATGTCATATTCAGACATTTACACGCCCACCGCTTCGACAGTTGTGACTTGCGTAATGAGATGTGACGTATGTTAGTGTTGGTTTCAGTTGAGTATTTAACTTCTGGAAAGCAGTGCAGTAGATCAGGCACACTCGTCATCATGATGTGGACTGCGCTTCTCCTGCTGGGACTCGTTGTTCTGTTTTTGTACGCGAGACGCACAAGGTGAGACAGACAGCTCTCGAGTCTGAAGAACGATACTTTCATAGAGAATTAAACTTTTTTTTTACAAAAAAATACACATCTCAAACAATTACGAATTAAACATGTTTTTGCAGACGAGGAAATGAACCTCCTCTTGATAAAGGAATGATTCCTTGGCTTGGTCACGCGCTTGAGTTTGGAAAAGATGCTGCTAAATTCCTGACTCGGATGAAACAGAAGCACGGAGACATTTTTACAGTGAGTTCATATTAGGTCATATCTTCGTACAGTAAAATAACAGCAGCATTCATTCAGCAGTCTATCATAGGGGGCGTTTGTTCTGTTAATGTAGCTGAATAACAGGGAATACAGGTTAGCATTTTACTCAGTTTTAATCGCGTTTAGCATTTTTGAAGTTCATTTCAAATCAACTGATCAAAGTTCAAATTAGAAAAATGCTGTTTTTAATAGTTTTAGATGAAGTAAAGCATGTTAGATTGCTTTAAATTTCCAATCAACTACCTTAAATACAGTTTACATGGTTATGGACACAGGGTCTTTCTTGCTGACTTTGACATACTTAGTTGCGACACTATATTTAAAAATGCTACCCGAAAAACTAAGATTTACAATGACACCTTCTTATAATCCTAACATTACACTTTACAAATGCAATGTGTCATATGTGGCTAATGAAATCATACAGGTTTGCAGAATCTTAATTCTGAAATCCAAGGTTCAAATAACTAGACATTTTGTTGCAAATATAGGCTAAAAAATATATTTGTGAGCAATTAGTGATATATATATATATATATGCAATATATAAGCAATTGTGATAATTCGCCTTATTACAAAATGTTACTTTTTAAAAAAAAAATGTATTTTACGCATAAACTATCCTTAGATGGCTGTTTTCTTAATAAATCTTTATCTAGATTTTACATAGGCTACATGTATTAGGGTGGTTTTAAGATAACAATCTTGTTCTATTTCATGACATTTCATGTGTTATCTTACTTCCATATTTAGCACTAACCACTGATCTAATTGTGAACTAGGTGCGTGCAGCAGGAAAATACATCACTGTTCTGCTGGACTCGAACTGCTATGATGAAGTCCTGGCAGATTTGAACACGCTTGACCAGACTGCCTATGCTCATATCCTAATGAAGAGAATCTTCAGCCTAAATCTGCCCAATCACAACCCTGAATCTGAGAAGGAAAGAGCAAAGATGTAGGTTTCTGATAAATCGCTCTTTCTGAACTAATGTCAACCTGGGGATTTTTTTTTTAATACAAAGTTCTGTCATGAAACTCTAGAATGGTGCAGGGCAGGCATCGTTTTCAATAGGGCACAGCTGATTGGTTCCTGCTGTATCAGTAGCCAATGAGCTTGCTGCTAAACTTTCAAATACTTGGCCTGTGTCTGCTGTAGCAGTTTGCAGCGCACTTTTAAAAACCCTCCACCTGTATAGATCTGCTACGGGTAATTCATGTATGTATTGGCAGTAGCAAGTCCTGTACTTACCCTGAGGTAGCAGTAGCAATAACAGCAGCAGCAGCATAACAGATCTACTCTCCCAAGACCAAACATATTAACATTGTCATATCCATTACCATGCCAAACATACAGAGAGTTGTCATGACAGAAATATTTTTAAATTGTTTTAAATGCTAAATAGATTTTTTGATAACATTAAAAATATTAAAGCTGTCATATACATATACAGTATGTGTTTCTGTGTGTTTGACTAGGCATTTTCAGGGGACCGCTTTGACCCAACTCTGCAGCTCAATGCAGAACAACCTCCTCCTGCTCATGGACTCTTTAGAAATGGACCTTAAGATATCTGAGTGGAAAAAAGATGGACTCTTTAATTTTTGCTACAGCTTGCTCTTCAAGTATGTATGACATCCTCTAAAATCAACATATTAGAAACCCCTTAAGACTATAAGGGGCTGTTCACACAAAAGACGTTTTTCCATTCCTCTATGCAACTTTTCCAATGTTTTATCATGTAAACACGAACTAGACTGACGTCTTTAACCATTACAGTCGCGTCTTGTGCATCACACAGTGTTCTAAAAACATCATTGTGTCATTGTGAGAAACTGCTTCACCTGCACACTGATTGGCTAAATACTTGATTGGGCAATCATTCTGTACCCATCAGCTAGCAGAACTGTCCCACCCAAAAGCTGGCACAATAATTATCACTTGCTATTGTACAGATAAGACTGTCATGCCTCCACAAGGTGCAGTTTAATTATTTCATATATGCCTTTAGGTCATGCAGTAAAACGTGGCATTTTGTGACAATGGTGACCAATCAAATGCTTAAATGTTGTTTTAACAGTCTCGAAAAAACGGGTTTAGTGCAAAAGGCCCACTTAATCGGCTTTCTAGTTTTTATTTTTATGCTGCATATCCTCATACCTCTCATTTCCTGTCTTTTTTTTTCTCTGCAGGACTGGGTATCTCACTGTGTTCGGAGTAGAGAATAACAATAGTGCAGCACTAACAGAAGTTTACGAGGAGTTTCGCCGGTTTGACAAGCTTTTGCCTAAACTGGCTCGAACTACTGTAAACAAAGGTAATGCAGGTTTCATTTGAAAGAAATTGGTAAGAAAAACAGATGTTCATTCTTACATTATTTTTTCTTTGTAAATTAATTTTTCATTAGATGATAATTACATAACTAACCTGTGTTTTGTATGCATTCATTAGCGGAGAAACAAATCGCAAACTCAGCACGAGAAAAACTGTGGAAATGCCTGACTTCACAATGTTTAGATAGAAAACCAAAAGAACAGTCATGGTTGGGAAAATATGTAGAGCAACTTCAGGATGAAGGCCTTGATTCTGAGACTCAGAGGAGAGCAATGCTGCTTCAGCTATGGGTCACACAGGTGAGTTTCTCCCTGTCTGTATCACTTAGTTGTCCTTTCACAACACATACTGGCATATAAATCCAAATGCATTGCGCAAAATAGTTACAAGAACACATTCTGTAATAGTAAACATACACTATCATTCAAAAGTTACGATGTTTATGAAAGAAGTCTCTTATGCTTACCAAGCCTGCATTTATTTGATAAAAAATACAGCAAAAACAGTATTATTTTGAAATATTTTTACAATTTAAAATAACGGTTCTATTTTAATATATTTCAAAATGTAGTTTATTCCTGTGATGCAAAGCTGAATTTTTAGCATCATTACTCAAGTCTTCAGTGTCACATGATCCTTTATAAATAATTTGAATATGCTGATTTTGTGCTTAAGAAACATGTATTATTATTATCAATGTTGTAAACATTTGAGCTCCCTAATATTTTTCTGGAAACCATGATACTTTTTTTCAGGATTCTTTGATGAATAGAAAGTTCAAAAGAACAGCATTTCTTTGAAATAATTATTTTTTATGACAACGTAATAAGTCTATACTGTTAATTTCAATCAATTTAATGCATGCTTATTGGATTAAAGTTTTAATTTCTTAAAATAAAAATCTTACTGACCCAAACTTTAGAATAGTATACCTCAATTCCCTGTTCTTTTCCATAACAATAAACCCCATATGGTTTCAGAAGACTTCAAATATAGATACTTTTATGGTGTCTATTTTTGAGTTTGGCAGTTCAAATGACTATTCACTTTCCTTGTATGGAAGATCTCCTTTTGTATTTTACTTAGAAAACACAAAAAATAAATACAGGGTTGGAATAACATGAACTATTGGGTAAAGTAGAAGTTCATCGTCATGAACATTATGGTGAACTATTCCTTTTAGAATTATTTTCGAATGATATCATTCATAACTACATAGTGGTGATATACTAACACCTTGAAGTTGCCATAGGGATAGGCGGTTTTGGACTCGTTGTGATCTTACCGCATACAAAAGAGGCTGTTACCTGTGGAATGCACAAGTGTTTGATTTCACTCGAGTTCCTGACATTTCCAGAGTACATGAACACAAAATTTGACAAGCTGCCCAAAGCACACCTAAACGCTACATCCTGAGGCCAAACAGCATTTGCTGAATGATTCTATTGTAACTGAAGGGAATTACGCAAAGGAGGTGTTCATGCTTCCCTTTTGTTTGACAGAATTATTACGTGCATATTAGAGAAATTTTATTCAAGCTTGACAGTATAAAATATCTAAATCAACACCTTGAGGCACAATTAAATGATTAGTTCACCCAACAATTAAAAAATTATGCCGTCATCTACTCGCACTCATATTGTTCCAAGTATATATAACATTCTATGGAACACAAAGACAGAGACATTTTCACAGTGCTCTTTCCATACACTGAAAACATACAGTATGCTGTCAAGCTCTAAAAGGGACATAAAACATAAAGGGTGTTAGATGGGTTTAGAATGACAACCTATTCCTTTTTAAATTTGAGCATGGATTTACATTGTATAAGCCATCATGCAGCAGTACTCCAATATATCCACATGAGAGCAGTATAACAAAAGAGAAATAGCTTCACTGCATACTTTGTGGTGCTTGCTAATAATACCATTGCTCATATTTAGGGTTAGGGATTAGGGTTCGGTAAACTCCTAGCCATACATATTAAGATTTGGCACACAACCCATCCCCTATAGTTTGTGTTTTGCACATGAATGCTACTGCAAATACATAATGTGGCTTGTTAAGAGAAGTGTGCTATTACATTTCTAAGCAATCAGGCCTAAATTTTCCCCACTGATGGAAGAAAGAGACAAATCTATCAAATAGAATATAAAAGACTTAAAGCCCTTTCACACCAAGAACAATAATTATAAAGATACCTATAACAATAACTATATTAGCATCAACGAACAATATTGTTGTTTATTATAAGCACGTGCTGCTTTAAATGCTTGAGCTCTTTTAAGCAGGATTGATTCTGATTGGCTGTCAATGTTTTTGTCGTTCATTAGCTGGAAAAATATTGTTGTGAAAGTGATTCCAACAATAATGTTTCTCTGTGCCGTTATCATTATATAGTTGTGGTGTTGCAACCACCTAACAATGCCCTAGCAAATGCACTAGGGCAGTAAAGACTTTTACTGTATTACTAAAAAAAATGTAATGCTAATAAATGTCAAATACATTTTCTATTCATCAAACAATCCTGAAAACAACTATAACGGTTTCCACAAAAAAAAATTAAGCGGCGTAACTGTTTTTAACATTCATAATAGAAAGAAATGTTTCTTGAGCACCAAATTAGCATTACAAATGATTTCTGAAGGATCATGTGACACCCAAGACTGCTTTGCCATCGCAGGAATAAATTATAATTTAAAATATAGTCAAATAGAATTACAGTTATTTCAAATTGTAATACTATTTCACTATATTACTGTATTTTTGATCAAATAAATCAATGCAGCTTTGGTGAGCATAAGAGACTTCTTTCAAAAACAGTTCAAAATCTTACTGACCCCAAACTTTTGAATGTAGTTCAAAAGTAATGGTAATCACATGGTAATGTCCTCACACAGAAAGCTTTGTGTCAGGTTTATTGACAGACAGGTTCGCCTAACAGTCTGTTTCAGAGTCTTCATCCCTCATTGACCTTGACTGTCAGTGCGGAGTCTCTCTGACCCCACAGCAATTGTTGTATGACAGGTTTAACTGCATTGCTCTGCACACACTGACAGCAGTATTGATATAAAACCGCTTATGGAGAAGCAATATGGTGTAGGTTAGACCCTGCTGTATATTTATATAAAAATGTCATACATCTTGTGACACGTCAGTGTGGCAGGTGACTCTCTCTTGGTTTTCAGGCTATTAAATAAGTTTACTTTAGATCAAGTAAAGCCAGACATTTCATGTAAAAAAATATTCAGTGTCAGAAGAACCTTTTTAGTGGTTGGTTTGAAAGTAATTTAAGGTATGTTTATGTCCTCAGGGGAACGCAGGTCCCGCTGCATTCTGGGTACTGGGCTACTTACTCACCCACCCTGAAGCGCTAAGGGCTGTGAGAAAGGAAATCCAAGGTGGAAAACACCTCCGTCCAGAAGAGACACAGAAAAACACTCCAGTGTTTGGTAGGTCACATCAGTGAGATAGCTTATCATCCTATAATACATATAGAAAATCTTATGTAAATGCACATCTATTTCTGCCTTTGAATCCTGGATTAAAATTTGTGTGTGTGTGTATATATATATTAGTGGTGTCACTATCTAACATAAAAGTTTGTAAATATATGTGTATTTTACAGCACTGCTATATGCAGTATATATATATATTAGGGGTGTCAGTAACATAAAAGTTTGTAAATATATAATAATGTGGATTTTACAGCACTATATTTGTATTTAATTATATTTTTATTTTATATTTTACAGCTTAATATTTATGTGTGTGTGTGTGTGTGTGTTTGTTTGTTCATGCGCTTATATATATATATATTGCAAGATGGGAATTACAAAGTCAATTCCATTTCAAATTAAAATAAATTTTTTTCTTTAATGTCACTTGTTTTTACAGATAGTGTTCTTAGAGAGACTCTGCGTCTAACTGCAGCTGCTCTAATCACTAGAGAAGTGATACAAGATAAGAAGATTCGTTTAAGCAATGGCCAAGAATACCATCTCCGACGGGGCGATCGCCTGTGCGTTTTCCCCCTCATCAGCCCTCAAATGGACCCGCAGATCCACCAACAGCCAGAGGTACACTCTCAGATTCCACTTCCTGAACTCAACCAGGCAGAAAGATGAGATTCACTTGGGGGAGAAATCATTTATTACCTGTAGAACATCTGTGCGAGATTTGAGATAAATTTGAAACGTGTATTGATTTTCACTTGATCAAAAATAGGTGCATTTCAAATAGACTCAAGTGCTTACACTGCTTTATTTTACAGCCAAACATTTTCATAGACTCACATAAAGGTACCACACCACATCTAGAATATAATAGAGACTTGGTGGTTGGCTCTTTTCAAATGTTTGACCCAGAGCAAGCCAGAGTACCCCAGCAACCAAATAGCAATGCCATAGAAATCAACTACAACACTCTAACAACTACATAGGAACATGTTAGAAACAACTCAAACACCTTAACAATCACACAGCAACACCATGGCATCGTGTTGGTGACTTTTTCATGGGCAAGTACCAATCAGAAAATGAAAAATAAAAAAACTGTTATAAAATGGAAGGAATATACAGTATGTGAATTTAATTTAACACCTTAAGAACTCACCAACAGGATGTGGTTGATAAGTACCAATTAGAAAATGGGGGGGGAAATAATTTTTTTTTATATATATATATATATTCAATTTAATAACATTGCAATTATATAGCAAAAAAATATATATTTCATTTAAAATTAAAATATAATTCAAAATTATAAAAAGTATATATATTTAATTTAATCTTATTCTGTACTTTCTTTAGGATCAAGATGTCAAGTTCACGTTTCTAAAATGTTAACTTATTTTTTAGATGTAACTGACTGTTTTAAATGTTTTTGATGTTTAGTGTTGCTATGCAATGCTAAGAGTTTTTTTTTTTTGGGCAGATAAGGTATTGTGTATTGCAGCCTTTCTCAAAGTGGGTGTCGCGGCACACTGGGGTGCCCCCTGACTGTGTCAGGGGTGCCGCCAAAAAATGACGTAGGCTAAAAAAATTAAATAAAATAAAAATCTGACATTTCATATATAAATATATTTAAATAAATACATTCTTCTTCTTTTTAAACGTATGAACGTATTAATAAAATTGTAAATTCATTTTAGATAAATATATACGGAAATATATACGGAAAAAAAACGGTGTTGCCTACACCGTGTTATCCTCTTTTTAAAATTTGCACCCTGTTGACTTAAACGGGTGCAACACGGTGAATCTGACTGCAGTAAATGTGAAAGATATGAATAAAAATGATGTTTATTCAGCCAGCTGCTCACATACCCGTATTTTCTTCCTGTTTTCGGTCGAAGTAGGCGATTGTCGAGTGCGCGCGCGCGATCATTGGTAACTAAGCAACAGTGGAGACTCAGACTGTCAGCTGTCAGCCGATGACGGTGCTGTGTGGTGTTCTGAGAATATATCAGCTCAAATGGAGAGTTCATCCGGATCAGATGTTGAACACACGGAGGAGGTTTGATCGCGCGCGCGCGCACGCGAACTCGACAATCGACTACTGTGGACTTCGACCGAAAACAGGATAAAGAGAATATTCCCTGCCTTCGTGAAAGCTCGGATCACAGTTAAGACTGATATATCAGCCCAGGCATCCACGATCCATTGGCAGATAGTGGCGTAAGTCGCCCGGCGCTGTCTCCCCGTCTTGGTGAACGTGTGTTCACCATCCATGTAGTAGGCGCTCCGAATTATAAGGCGCACTGTCGTTTTTTGAGAAAATTAAAGGCTTTTAAGTGCGCCTTATAGTGCGGAAAATACGGTATATAAAATTAACCATAAAAATCCGTCTCACAAGACCGAAGCAAGACACACACACAACTTGACGCAAGTGACGCAGCGGCAACCCATAGCAACGCGTTATAGCAACAACACCTCAGACTGACAGAAACGTAAAAATAAACGTGAATTTAGGCCACTTTAGTTTTGTACACATTGTCATGTTAATTATAAGCAAATAATTGTTTTTATTGACCACAATATACCAAAAGGTGCTATAAAATTGTTATTATTATTGTTATTTACAGTTCGTATTATGCTCTGTTCATTACTGTTCTGTCTAAATAAACAGGACATTTGCATTTACATTTGGGTTATGCAGTGTTTTTAAATTATATTTTACACTAGGGTGCCTTGAGATTTTATGCACTTTTGAAAGGTGCCCTGACTGAAAAAAGTTTGAGAAAGGCTGGTGTATTGCTTTATTAACACGCCTCACTTATTGACATAACCTAAACCTATTTATCTTTATTGACGTCCACTATTATGATCAAGCTTGGATTACATTCTGCACAGGTCAAAGGGCTAATCTAGTAAAATATCTGGGATTAGCCATTCAAGTGCTGTCATTGGCACAAAGACAAATAGGGGGAAGGGGGCCACAGTTAATAGACACTGCTGCTGCTCCTACTATCTGTGAGAAACAGACGCACACACCACTTTGTAGGCCAAAATGCTGACGTTGCACACCGTAGTGCTGTGTGTTGGCACTGTGAACTACAGATCTGATCCAATCTTATATGTCAACCCTACTGATTAATAGTAAATTGATTAACAGCACAGCAAGATGCTGTTCTTGCAAGCAAACATTGGACACGTCTCACAAACATATCACATAAGCACAGTTTCTTGCTTTACAGTGTTTCATCAAGACAATCTTAATGTTGTTGTTGGCAGGTGCTACTAATACCATTATGATGTATTAATTTTACACTCAAAGACACAATAATCAAAATTTTAACTCTGCCTGTCTTCTCGTAATGCAACAGATGTTCCAGTTTGACCGCTTCCTTAATGCAGATGGGACAGAGAGGAAGGACTTCTTTAAGGAAGGGGTGAGGGTGAAATATCCCTCTGTGCCCTGGGGGACACAAGACAACCTGTGTCCAGGACGGTATTTTGCAGTTAGTGCAATTAAAGAGTGAGTATAATAGCATTCAACACATCAACACTTAAAGAGGACCCACTATGCTGTTTTCTTTAGTGTGTAATGTTGCTGTTTGAGCATTAAAAAAGGTCTGGAAAGTTACAAAGCACAAAGTCACTACAAGGGAAGTTATTCTCTCGATTGTAGTCTTGAATTTTCTTCAGTACACGTCACAATATTCCTTATTTAAATAAATCTGAAGCCTGGTTGAGTTGCCTTAGTAGCGTGTTGAAATTCGTGGAGATGGTAAGGTGCATTTCCGAAACATGCTCGATGAGTTTGACCAATCACAACACAATGGTCCAGCCAACCAATCAAAGTACAGTAATATTTTTGAAGGAGGGGCTTCATAGAGACAGGAACTAAACAGAGTGTTACTGACAGAAGGGGACGAGAGGTACTGCAACAATGTAAAATATGTGAAAAATAATGTGTTTTTTGAACATTCAAGCCTGAAAAACTATTAATTATGGCATAATAGGTCCTCTGTATATGCCTCATAGCATAATACATCCTCAGTGCAGTCACATTTACTGTTGCTGCGCAAAATTTTCCAATCATTTCAATAGGAATCCACACGATTGGGAGTATCGTATGAGGGCGAACAAGTTTGCTTGTGTTCAAGTTGGTTACTTAGATTCATCGCGTTGACCAACAGAATGCTGCTTAATTTGAAAGTGCCTTATGTATTAACAGTGCTTCATACATTACTAGACTATTGACAATAATCAATGGGTCTTTTTTGTTCGCAAAATTATTACCAAAATTTGACTAATCTGACCACACCTTTAGTCCTTGTTTTATCAACACCTGCTCTAAGTACATGTACATCCATAAGATTTTGCCAATTAAATGCTTCTGTCTGTTAGCAACTTATAATGACATTTGGAATTATTTTCTAATTTTTCCAATCCCTTTAGGCTTGTGTTCACAATCTTGGCTCGGTTTGATCTGGAGCTATGTAACAAGAATGCAACGCTGCCATTGGTAGACCCCAGCCGATATGGCTTTGGCATTCTTCAACCAGCGGGAGATCTAGAGATCCGCTACAGAATCAGATCTTGACCGTGCTAATATGCCAAATCTTATTAAAACTGTACAGATAACAATGTTCTTTTTTACAACAATGTTTTAGCAATGTTTTAAATACTTTTTGAAATAATAAATATTGTATTTTTTTAAACTCTGGTTTAGTCATTCATGATGTCATTTGGATTTACATATCACTTTTCTAATGCAATTTTAATTTTGATAACCTGCTTTAAATCACCTCGCAGATGTTGTATTATATTTTTCTGCAATTTTTTGTTCGTCAGGGTCAAACTGATGCCAAACCGAAGTAAATGTGCTACTACAGTGAATAATGGTCAGATTTTGGAAAAATGCATGTCTACTTTGTTATACAACAAAGTTAAAGCTTCGATCTGTCTAGTCTTTTGACTAGGTCAAAGGAACATAGGTTACCCCAGGGTAAAATCCACTTTTTATTTTTCTCTAATGGGAAATTGATCCATTATGTGCAATAACCAAAAAATCTAGTTTAATATATGTTCTAAAATATAATATAATTTTGTTTGCAGATTTAGGTTTCTAGTGGGAAAACCCTGTAATGATCACATTTATTTTGAGACAAAAGACTTGCTTCTCATGTTCTTGCAATCTTTTAAAGTAAATGTAACAAATCATGCTTGCACCTATCTACACTACATCACTATAATTTAAAGACAGAAAAGTCAATCTCAACAGATTATCAAGGTTAATATTTACCCTCAAAATAATTAGGATAGATAATTTGCTCTATTTGCTGAAATTCAATATAAGGTCTTCTTGAATCGAATGATTGGAGACCCAAGAGCATCTTAGTACCGTTGCTGTGCTTCATCTTGGTAAAATATTAAATCAAACTCGCATATTCAGGGAGCTGCAGCTATGGCTGAACTGACTCATAGGTTGCTTGAGCACTGCCCCAAAAAGCTGATGTGTTTCCGAACGCATATGACTAGTTAGTGGCTAGTTTTCGGTATTGCCCTATCTCCAGGCGCCATTTTCACGCAGGTTCCTCTTAACCACACACAAGGAGCTGCTCCAAGAGCCTATTGGTGTCGGGCGGCAAGGGTTAAGCGCGATCGTCTCTCTGCCATTGGGCGACGAGACTACGGCGAGCCAGACATCTGCAAGGAAAGCAGCTGTCGCCTTCACGCAAGAGATGTTAGACATCAGTGAACGAAAACAGTGTGGATTCACCCCAAGACTTGTTGATCTTTTTCCACGAGCGGCGCGATATGTGTATGTCTGGAGAAGATGATCGAGCTGCTGTGTACTGGCTTATTTAAACTGGCGTCCCTGCGTTTTCGCCCATTTAAATGCTTAATTTCTCACCGCTGTCAGCAATAAGTCTTCACAAATTAAGGTGGGTTTTCTTTCAACCGATATTTATCAGTCTACCCTGTTTTTATATTTACCGTATGCTTAAATAAGTATTAGCCTATTGATCACATTGGAAATTTCTGCCGAAAACCTAATGGGAAAAGTGTGACATGATGTGTAGATGAGCTATACGCTTTAAAAAAAAAATACTATTCAATTGCATTTTATGCAGTTGAACATGCCATACTAATAACTACAGCTGCAATTAGGTTATAATGCTGTTTTAACACGTCTGAAGATGCATTTTTTCTATTTATGATGCAGGATCAATACTGCTAGATGCCACTCCTACAACGTTTAAATTATATTTAATGTCTTTATGATAGCACATTGCCAAAATGTTTTGAATATGTCCTTTGTTGGTCCCGAATAACGTGCTTTGTGTATTTAGCGTCACTTTTTTCTTCAAGTGCACGAGATCAATGAAATCATATCATAAGCGCAGCTGCATTGACACATTGATGTGATGACTGCCTTATGCAACTAATAGCATTTTATCCAAGAAAAGACGTGCGATGCTCATTAAAATCCATTTTAATTAGCTTCGCAGTGTGTAAGGCTAAACCAAAACGTCTATCATGTCATCATGTTTTCCTCCTATTTTGCATGTTGTTGCTGCTGCTGCAGATGTAGGTTACGGTTGGGCTCCAGCCGACGTTACACTTAACTCTTTAGTTACAAGGTATGGAAATTAAATATAACCTTTAAGTCTTTTACTTCATAGTTTATGGAGTATTTTAATACTATACAGCAAAAGGAATATGGGGAGTTCTCACTCCCAGCGAGATGATGTTGATGATTAAATAGCCTGTTCCTTTCAAAAGTTTACAGGTGGATCACGTGCGTTCCAATATATTTGGATTAAAATGTTTGTTATCTTTCGTGAGTTTATAGAGACGAGAGGGCCTTTAACTTCGACAAAAACTGCCTTCAGGAAAGCAGCAGGCGATTCAGCACCACGTTGGTGGACAGCGACCTCGAAGGCTTTGGGATTCGTAAGGAATTGAATGATTGCGATTCATCTTAACGATTGCGATTCATCTTAACGATTCCGCTTCCTTAACGGTTCTGTTAACGACTCTCTTTCAGATTCATTTAGTAGCATAACGTTAATATTTAAAACTTCGAATTGCATTCACTGCCCTCGATAGCCTGTTGTCAAAATACTAGATCATTTCAGATGCCAAAACAGGGCATCAATTAATTGAACACAGTTCTTTAAAAAAAGTGGGCTTACACAGATATTTTAATGACTTTTCACACACTTTTTAAAGTAAATGCAGTTCACTAAACTATGCTCGAGCTGTAGGCTATGTTTGGATTCACACAAAAAAACTCTGACTAGCCACACTGTTTGTGCTCTCTTACTGAATCACTGAAAAGAATCGAATTGAGTCATTCGTTTAGGATTCGAACCATATTGGTCGCGCTATTTACCTTATTTTTCAACGCGGAAGTTAAGGTGTTTTCTGTGAATGTGCGAGACTTTAGTGAAATAAGAATAATATATCAAAGTGCAGTAAACTGTAAAACTGTTTGCGCTACAAACCAGCGTGTTTGTAATTAAGACAATATTAAATTAATATGGTGAGAAATACCAGTTTGCAATATCAAGTAGCATAGCAAGCTGTTTTTTAAAAATAAATGGAAGCGAATGACAACGGAAGCCAGACACATTAAAATTAGCATACAAATGGCCGCGCCCGCGCTTACCTGAAAAATAAGGTGGATATTATTATTAATTCGATGAAAATAACCGGCTCATAAAAGACGTTTATTGCAAGAATCAGATTACACTAGTCCTGCTACATGGTTTTGATTCACTAAAAAGAACCGACTCATAAGAGTCATTCGTTCAAGAATCGAACAACACGGATGGCGCGCGCAGATTCGATGCGCGTCCAGGAACCGTTAATCAAAAGTCATTCAAATTTAACTGATTTTTTTTCTGATTTTCAGTTCCTTAACCTGTTCAGCAGTCAGACTTTTAATTAAATATGCTCATGCTGGTAATTTGTTGGTAATTTATTTATTTAGAAGAACTGATAAAACTTCAGAAAACACACAACTCAGTTCTTGCTTCTCCTTTCTTCAACAGCCCGAATAGAATGAAACAGCTCGGAGAACCATTGGTACCGCCTGTCCCATGGCCAAAATCATAGGGTAGTCTACGCAACAACAAAAAAAACAACAACATGGATAAACCCTCCGCAGGAATGAGTAAAGTTGGCTCTCGCTCGACGGCCTCTCTGCCCCCGGAGCCTGCGGATATAATCCGGAGCATGTCGTGCTACCGGCGTGTCAAACTCAACGTAGGGGGTCTGCCGCACGAGGTCCTGTGGAGAACCCTGGACCGACTGCCGCGCACACGACTGGGCAAGTTACGAGACTGCAAAACCCACGAATCACTCATGGACATATGCGACGACTACAACTTGGACGACAACGAGTACTTTTTTGACCGGCACCCAGGGGCGTTCACGTCTATTCTGAACTTCTACCGCACTGGGAAGTTGCACATGATGGAGGAAATGTGTGCCCTGTCCTTCAGCCTGGAGCTAGACTACTGGGGGGTGGATGAGATCTACCTGGAGTCGTGTTGCCAGGCCCGGTACCACCAAAAGAAAGAGCAGATGAACGAGGAGCTCAAGCGGGAAGCGGATACTATGAAGGACCGGGAGGGCGAAGAATTTGATAATACGTGTTGTTCAGAGAAAAGGAAGAAACTCTGGGACCTACTAGAGAAACCGGGCTCATCTGTAGCAGCCAAGGTATGCATCACTACATACACTGACAGCATCTTACCCGACTGATAAACAGGCCAAGATTCAAACATAAACACACAACTATGGCAAGCCTATATTGGCCTATTCATTTCCATGCAGGATAGGAATTCTTGATATCAACAATAAAATTTTCACTAGTTAAAATGCTAATTCTTGATGTAGGGAATTATATTTCCCTAGTGACAATGGCAATTTTTGATTTCAGGAAATACATTTCTATAGTATCATCACTCTTTTCACTAAATGTCACCACAGCCTGCCATTCAAAATCAAGAATTGATTTCTTACTAGTTGGAATTCCAATTTCACATACCAGAAATACAATTCTTACTAGTTAAAACCTTGTTTGTTCTTGATATCAACAATTGAATTGCTACTAGTAAAAAAATTCATTTTTGATATTGATCATTTGATTGTCACTATGACAATGTTCATTTCTGATATCATGAATATGATTGTTACTGCAAAGCCATTTTAGATATCTGAAATTACTCTCCCAATTATTGATATTAGAAATAGATTTTCAGATATCAGAAAAAAAAAACAAATGTAAAAAAAAACTCCACATAAGCATTTAACAACACTCAATTAGCTTAAAAGGGAGATGTAAAAAGTGCAGTTCAAGCCTTTGGACTCTAACCAAATTGCTTCAGTCCTGTAATCAATCACAACAGAGTGGCACTCTCCTGCTTCTCACACAATTCAAAACTCAGTATTTCCATGTAAACATTCAGACTTCAGACCTTCTATGTGTCGATCATAGTTGCAGGTCTGACATCTCTATGATCTACATCATTTTTAGTTGACATCTTTGGTCTTGGATTAAGAACAGCATCTTGGTCGAATGATATTGTGAGAGATGCAATGCTTATTCTGTAAACTTGTATTCTCACTCTGTGTTGGCCATCTATTTAATGTGCTCTAATTCTATAATTGTGTACCTGTGTTTATATGTCACATGGGATTGGGA